TTCTGTTTAACTGTGTGCTTGTGTCTGACTGTAGTTATTGTTGCTCTGATGAACTGATTCTTGGCATATGAGGGTGTTAGCCTGTCCATGCCGATCAACCCGGCCAGGTCAGGCGTGTCACATTGGTCTGTGTGTGTTTGTGTGTATGACTGATTTGGGGACTGGAGGAACCCAGCCCCACTGAACTGAGTCCTGCAAGATAGCTCCATTGGGGGTGAGGGCTTGCAGGGGGAGAGATACAGCTCCGTATAGAAACACCAGTAACACAAGCAGCACATTAATAGAATTACCACGACCCTAGCCCTAATAAATGACCACACCCCAAAGTAGTGGGCAAATCTGGTAACAAAATGGCCTCATGTGCCATGCTCAGCACTCATGTTGCCGACCCTTGAGCTAGAACTTCTAGCCCAGGCCCACTGTATTGGACCTGGCTTTGAGGCACAAGCTGTAGTCTAGCCCTTTCAGGCACTGGACCCCTGGCCTCTGCCTGCCAAGCCCCCGGCCCCTGTATGATTGTGCCTCTCTCAGACACCAGGCCCCTGGGTGGCTGTGTGGCCTCATGCTCTACCCTGCTCTGAGCTCTACACTCACTTAGGCCTTGAACCGGCCCTCGCAGGGCTCAAGATGATAGCGTGCCCCTCAGGCACTAATGGGACCACCATATACCGCCCATTACACTCCCAAATCAAACCGCCAGTTCCAAACTGCAACACAAACAACCAGCCCCTGGGCTACAACATAAACACAAAGTGGGAAGCAGCCCTCTGCCCCTTCAAGAGAAAATTTTCCCTCACTTCTCTGCTAGGATTATCTTCCAGCCCTGGGCTATATATGCTTGTGAGCTCTCTGAGCCTTACCAGGGACTCACATGCAGCACCACAGTCCCTCCAGCATTCCGTGGAAGCTGCACTGGACATGAGCTCCTACCCCTGCAGCTCGCAGGGCTAGGTTAGCTTGCCAGTTTGAGCCTCAGGTTTATATCCTCCCAGGGCCCTGCTCCCCTCGGGTTAGCAGATTACCCTGGACTGCCGGCAAGTACCTGTTAATTGGCCTAATTGCCCCATTGCCATGATGACTTGCAGCTGCTGCACCCTGCCTGCCCTGGAGTGTTCCCTTCCTGGGCTGCTTCTTGCCTAATGCTAAGTACAGACAGTCAAAAATCCAGAGTCTGAATTGATTCAATCTTGGCAGGTTAACTTAAGCTGTGTAGATTGAACCAATAAGCAAGTGAACAGACATTCACTTTGATTCCAGAAATGCAGCCACATGTCTGCAGTGGTCCAGGCCAGAAGCCGGGGGGTGCTAGAACAGGTCTCCCTGCTTGGTTGGAGCAGACACCTTGTATCTGGAGATCTGGGACAGAAGTTCAATAAAACGATTTAACCTAAATCAGTTAAGTCTGGTACTATATCCATCCAGATTTATCTTAAACTGGTTTCAGCCATTTCGAAAGTGGCCCACTCTACTTCTGTTGTGTTACAGATTTGAACCAGTTTCTGATCACTGATACTGGTTTGTGTGTAATTTCTGTCCTTAGTCTAAAGGAACAGAGCCCCCAGGCTCTCTGTCACAGTGCCCTATTTAGTAGGCTATGGAATCACACCTCTGCTCTCTCTCTGGCCCAATGAATCTTGAGTTGTTTTCTGCAGAGCTTCCAGAGAAGTGACTGTATCGCCTCCCCCCACCCCCCTCTTCTCTCCCCAGTAGTAAAATAGCCTATAGGTAGCTGGGTAAGGCTGCCTGCTGTGACATAGGGGTATAGGTTGTAGCCATGTTGGTCTAAGAACATAGGCAGACAAGGGGTTCTTTGGGTAAATCTGATATCTTTTATTAGACCAACTCAAATATGGTTCCTCAGCCTGACGAAGGGTATTTATGTCCAAAAGCTTGCAAAGAAGAATGTTTTCAACTATTTGAGTTGGTTTAGTAAAAGATATAGGATTTACTCAAAGAACTTTGTCTGCTGTGACATATGCATCTGAATCCTTAGGTAGAAGGAACTGAACCTGGGCGTCCCTTATCCAGGGCATGTTACTGACCACTATTAAAACAGGGATGTTGCTATCACTGCAGCTACCGTCTCTTCTGGCCGTGATTTAATAGAAAATGTGACCTGCTAGTCACTCCCTTTCTGAAAGAAATTACTTAGGTGTCTGAATCCAGGTGAAAGATAAGGTCTATGTAAGTGGAAGTAGGTGAATCCCTGCTCCAAAGAATTAGGCTCCAGAGAGACACCCAACTCCTCCAGTTCCTGCTGCTTATTTTATGTTCTCAGCTTACTGGCCATTTTAAATTCCTTTCTGAAGTATTACCTTCGCCCCAGGTATTGTATAGGGGGTTTACGTACCTAACTTAAAGCAGAAAAACCTAGCCTTTTATCTCTGAGAGACTGACTGTTTCAACTCAAGCTTTACTGGCTAGCTAGATGGATTAAGTGCTACTAATAAGTAGTTAAACAAGGTATGTCTGCAAAATTCAGTTGAATTCTGTAGCTGGTAATTGTGTATCACTCAACTTATGGCAAGCAAAATAAACTGCCCCAACAACTTTAGTGAATCAGGATCCTGTATTTTTTAGCTTCTGCTTAATACAGGCAAAAATATGTGCTTTTGTTTCCATGAAGAAAAATCCATCAAAAAACTCAAGTAGTACTGATTAATGAAGCCAATTTAGGAGTTAATATATTTCTCCTTCCTCCTTCATGTAACAGACACATATGCTACTTTAGTATTTAGCCAGATCTCTGAAGAGCAGTTTGAAAGCAGAGTGTGACAAATTTTACTTGACTTTTGGGGAATACCATTCAGAGAAAATAGATGGGGAA